TATAAATGAGGCCAGCTAGGCTAACTAAATTTTGAAATCTTTGTCGATTATTCCAGGAGATTCTATTTAATGATCTAGGCCAATAAAATCCTTGGTCAGATTTTATCCTCACCTGAGGATATTTTTCCATTTTTTGTACAGATAGAGAGGGAGGGAGAGAGAGGAAGGGGAAGAGAGAGGAAGGGAGAGAGAGAGAGAAACATCGACGTGAAGGGACACATCGAGTGGCTGCCACCCGCACGACCAACCAGGGCCGGGGACAAACTGCAACTGAAGTACGTGCCCTTAGCGGGAACCGAACCTGGGTCTCTCCGGACTGCAGGCCGACACTCTAACCGCTGAGCCAAACCGGCCAGGGCCCTTGGCCAGATTTTAAACAGAAAACCAACTTGCCCTACTACTGAGAGACCAAGTTGGACCATATAGACTGTTCTATGGATTATCTAGGGATTTGAGCATAGCTAGACGTCATTTTAGCATGAACTCTGAAATAATTTAACCAAAACCAAATCTTTTGAATACAAGTCATGGGATTTTCAGGTATAGTCTAAGCTCACTCCATATGTCACTTACAGGTTGAGTCGCCACGCAGTGTTTACGAGTGCTGTGTTTGTATGTGGTGATGGGAAGCCAGGGGAGAACTGAGACGGGGGTGAATTGGGAGGTGGCAGAAAGTTGAGAAAAGAGAGAGAGGAGAGAACAAAAGAAGATGAACACAGAAAATGGCCAAAAGGACTGTTAAGAGTAGGTAAGTCTAACACAGTAGTTCTCCCTGATCCTCAGGGGATACTTTTCAAGATCCCCCAGCAGATGCCTGAACCGTGGATAGTACCAAATCCTATACATGCTGTATTTTGTATGTACATACATACCTTTTCACTTAAAGGAAGTACTTTATGGCTTCTCTTTGGCATATTCAAATTGCCAGCATCACTACTCTTGTGCTTTGGGGTCATTAAAAAGGAAATTAAGGGTTACTTGAACACAAGCCCTGCAGTACTATCATAGTCGATGTGCTGAGAGGGCTACGAAGTGACTCGGGGAGAGTAGCGTATAGAGTGAAAACAGTGGACAGAGATGATTCACGTTCAGGGCAGGACAGAGCAGAACAGTGCAAGATTTCATCATGTTACTCAGAACGACATGAAATTTAAAACTCACAAATCATTTATTTCCGGAGTTTTCAGTTTGATATTTTCAGAATGCAGTTGACCATGGTAACTTAAATCATGAAACTAGAAACCGTGGATAGGGGGGACTGCTGTGCTCAATTTTAAGTTGTTTGCATGTATGCAAAAAGAAAACAACAACAACAACAACTAAGCCCTGGCCGGTTTGGCTCAGCGGGTGGGTGGAGCGTCAGCCTGCGGTCCAAAGAGACCCTGGTTTGGTTCCCCCTAAGGGCATGTACCTCAGTTGCAGTTTGTCCCCGGCCCTGGTTGGGTCGTGCGGGTGGCAGCCATTCGATATGTCCCTTTCACGTCGATGTTTCTCTCTCTCTTTTTCTCTTCCTCACACTCTAACTGAACAAAAAAATGGAGAAATATCCTCGGGTGAGGATAAAAAAAATAAACAACTAACTGCTTTCCTAAAACCTTTGACAAAAGACTTTTATTGGTAGAAGCCTTAAATGAATAGAGTTTTGGTGGAAAATAAATAAATAAATAAATAACATTTAAGGTACTCCAACATGAATTCCATGTTTGAGTGGACACCAGGGCAGAAGTAAACAGTCCCTTTCTGTAAGACCAGAAGTGAGGGCAGGAATTCGAAACCCAAATATCGCAAACATTTTCAGAAATCTTTGGACTTTTCACAGAACACTGTGACTTTGTGAACATTTTTAAAGTAGAGACACAAAAGATGGGCAGGGAAAGTGAAACCGAGACATGTGTGACTCCCGGGTTTCTGGAAGAGGGACATGACACACTTCACGGGGCACGTGCGGAGGTCAAGGCGGTGCAGGCAGACAGGGCATTCTGGGTGTTATTTTTTCTCCACTGTTTTCTCCCTCTTTCTGCTATATTTTCTGGGACATTTTCTCAATTTTGTCTTCCAACTCAACTATTGAGCTTTTTTTCTGACCTCATGTTTTAATTTCCAATAAATCTTGAATTTTTAAAATCTAAATATTTCTCTTTTGGGGGGGAGGCACCATCGTATTCTGTATTTTTTAATGCAGTATCTTCTCTTTTCTCCACGAGGGCAGTAAGATTATTTTGTGCAGTTTTCTTGTCCCTGCATTATCTCTGTTTCTTCTAGGTTGTTCTTTTTTTTTTTTTTTTAATTTTCTTTTCCTTTATTTTTAGAGAGAGAAGAAGTGAGAGGGGGAGAGAAATAGAAACATCGGTGAGAGAGAACATCAACTGGCCGCCTCCTGCCTGCCTCCCACTGGGGATTGGGCCCACAACCTGGGCACGTGTCCTGACCGGGAATCGAACTTCTGGGTGCACGGGTCGACGCTCAACCACTGAGCCACACCAGCTGGACTAGATTGTTCTTATTCCCTGTTTCTTTAGTAGGGACTCTATCACATTATAGGTTTTCTTCACATATCTGGTCATTGTCTCCACTTCAACATATGAAGTAATCAAGAGATGTGTTCTGTGACGACACCTATTACACATATGAGCCATCTGAGTCATGTCACATCTCCATTTTCTATTTAGATGGTTATATAACTTGTATGATATTTCTAGGCATCCATGCCACAGAAATCCAAGGATTGCAGATTTGTTTACCATAAGCAACCCTAGACAACCAGGTACATCCTTCTAAAAGCATTCCAAGGATAAGTCTCCTGCTGGCAAATACCATTAGTTTGTTTGCTAGAATTTTCGTCATTCACATGTTTAATGTTTTATTTTTCTAATTTTTTTTTTATCCTCACCCGAGGACATTTTTCCATTTTTTGTACAGATAGAGTGGGAGGGAGAGAGAGAGAGAGAAACATCGATGTGAAAGGGACACATCGAGTGGCTGCCACCCGCACGACCAACCAGGGTCGGGGACAAACTGCAACCGAGGTACATGCCCTTAGCGGGAACCAAACCCAGGTCTCTTCGGACCGCAGGCCAACACTCTAACCGCTGAGCCAAACTGGCCAGGGCTATTTTTCTAATTTTTTAAAATATGTTTTTATTGATTTTTTAGAGAGAGAGAGAAACATCAATGTGAGAGAGAAGCATTGATCAGCTGCCTCCTGCACGCCCCCTACTGGGTATCAAGCCTGAAATCCAGGCATGTTCTCTGATCCAGAATTGAACCAGGACCTCTCAGTCCGGGGAAGGACGCTCAATCCAATGAGCCACACCAGTCGGGCTGTCATTCACATGTTTAAAAAACCATTTGACTGATGACCTTTCTTTCCTGGCTGTGTCTCCCAAGGAATAAAGAGAATGAATTATGAACGTATTGCTTAGCCCATGACTTCACTGTGTTTACAGTGCGCTGGGACCTCTCATTTTATCACAGCAAGAACTCTCTGGGGTTAGTACTATTATCCCCACTGAACAAACAAGTATGTGAGGCTCAGCACTTAAATTGTTTCCCCAGGGTCATGACATCTAGTATGATCAGGTGGGCCTCCAGTGGCTAACCTCAAGTGTTCCTCCCCATTGTGCTCCCACCGATAAGGTCCCCTGGTCAAACAACCCTTCTTATCACAGGGAACAGGCACAGTTTCTGTTTTTTTTCTGTGTGGCAGGCTTCAGTTCCCCACCAGCCTGAGGAATTATTCAAACAAGACAATCACATCCTCCCATGGGAACAAGAGGTCACCTGACCTTCTTGTTACTGCAAAGCCTACATTCCATGGCCCCAAAGTAGTCCGTCTATTCCCAAGTGCAACCCCTACGTGGCCCTGTATGGCATGTACTGTGCTCCTCCCCAGGCTGTGAGTATATGTGACTATTAAACTGCTGTCGGTCTCATCTCTCCAGTGTTGGGTGTCATGTATTCAGCCATCCTCACGACCCTAGGGAGAAAGAAACAAGAAAATTAGGAAATGATTTCAGGAGACCCAGCACATTAAAAGTAGAGAGTAGGCAGAGCACTTGGATGAGTTGTCAGCAACTCTTGCAGCTGCCTCTGGCCCCTCCCCTCCATTCTCAGCAATAATCAGGCTCAAGGGGTCCCCTCCAACCCAGACAGGAGAAATCTCACTCCTTAGGGTACCAGCCAGCTGTTAGAAGAGAAGTAGCTAAGTGAATTCATTTACACTTATGTGTGAATGATTGTCAGGCCTCACGGCATTTAACATCTAGAGTATTTGTATTTTTAAAAGCAAATTTTTATTTTACAAAGGAATTAATCACTAGTACCAGCCTTGTTGTTGGGGAGAAAGGAGGAGAGGAGGTAGCTTTTCTGTATGCTTCAAAAATCACGTGAGCTGGAAAATGACCCCTGCAGTAAATCGGAGACGGGTTCACATCTCAGTTCTTGCCTTAGACAGAAAGGTACTTTTTCAGTGTCTGTGTCCTAGATCGTTGTCATGTAGACAATCATTGGTTCCTTTCAGCACCAATCACTTGTTCAATCGGACTTATTTAAGTGTGGGTACTTTTAGGGCAGATCATATCCTCACTGGGATCTAGCACAGCGGCAGACACGCTGTGGGACCTCAGTGGATATCTGTGGACAGGTACATGAAGATGATAGGGATTTGTAAACTGTAGAGTATCACGGGGTCCCAGTCACAGAAGTACTGATCTCTAACACTCTACCGAAGAAGAATGCATTCCTTCATGCAAAGGTGCTGATGCTGGGAGACAGGACCCAGGCGAGCTGGAGGAGTCCATTCAAGGCAGGGACTCCTGCAGAATTCAGTGGGGCACTTGTTTAGAATGTACTTTCCCAGCCCGGACAGAAAGAACCGAATCTCAGGCCCTCTCGATTCCAGGTCCAGGAGCCCTGGTTTGGGAGGTGTGGTAAAGGTGCCAACCCCACCGGCACTCTTGGGGTTCTTTGGGAAATGTTACCCCGTACCTGGAAAAGTCGCGATGGAAGAGTCCCTAGGATGCCCCATGAGTGACTTTCAAGCTACGCTTTTAGGGAAGCGTCTCGCTATTCCGTGCGTCTCGCTCCTTAGAGTGAGGTTGGCAAGTTTGATTCTTCTTTGTCATAAAAACGTTCCTCCTCTACAGGAGGAGGCAGCTGGCAAGTCAGGAGGCAGAGGACAGAGTTAGGCATCGGTTTTTTAACGATCCTCCGGGAGGAGCTCGGCCTCTGGGACTGCGTCACCCGTTCGTCGGGGTGCCCCGGGCCGGCGAGGGTACCCAGCAGCCGACTCTGCTCTCCGCGCTCCCCGCGTCCTCACGCTCAGCCCCGGCGGCGCCCTGGGAGCTAGCCGTCCGGCGCAGCCTCTTTTGGCATCGAGGCCTCCAGGTGCCCAGCACGGAGGCGGAGCCGCGCTCCAGCCGCCTCCCCGGCGCCACGGGCGAGACCCCCGGGAGCTCGTGGCCCCAGCACTGAGGCTCCGGCGTCCGGGTCTCCGGGGCTGTCCGCGCTCCTCCCTCTCGGCGCGCCGGGCGCGAAGCCTGCGACGCGCGAGCAGAGCGCAGCGCGCAGAGCCAGTGGCGCACGCTGGGCAGTGGCCCAGGCAGCCCCGATCGCAGCCAGAGCCCGCACTCGAGCCCGCCAGCCCACGGACACCCGGACTATGGCCGCCGAGGGAGCCGGCCCCCGCGCCCGGCTCTGGACGGCGGCGCTGCTCCTGCTCGGTCTGCCGCACCTCTCCGTGCGGGCGGATGGTGAGTGTCCGCGAGGCGGCGGGGCCCGGCTGGGCGCGGGGTCCGGGTGGGGAAAGCAGAGCTCGCTGGGGTGCTCATTTGGACGAGCCCGAAAACCGCAAGCCTGGGAGGGGACGAGGCGAGCGGCAGTCCTGCGACCCCGAGTCCTCACCGGTCCCACCGAGTCTCAGCTCGTCCAAACGACCCCCCTGTGTCCCCCGAATCCCTTCCTCACACACCGGAGACAGCCAGAGCCTTGGTCCTGCGGTCCCGCCATTAGCTTTCCCAAGATCTCCATGAAAGGTCGTTAAAATGAAATCACGTCTGGAGTGCCCTAGAACCTCCTCTGCGGAGAGGTAATTTTCCACGTCCATTAAATGTGCTCTGGACGGCAAGGCCAGTGATTAGAAGACTCTGTTGGTATTTTGACTTGGTCCAGGAAAATCCGAAAGTTGAGTGGGAATCAACTAGGGAAAGGGGAGAGGAGAGTGCCCTGGGGTAGAGGGAGTAGCACGTGCAAAGGCCCTGTGCTATGAGTGGCAGGGAAAATGGGATAAATGATAGAGTGGTTGGACCCAGAGTGCAAGGTGAGGATGCCGTTAGACTTGAGGCTAGAGACAGATATAGGTAAGGACCAGATTATTGCAGGTTCTGAAAATCGGCTGACTTTATTTATTTATTTTTTTGTCTGTTTCTTATTTTCTGGACTGAATTCAGCTTTCAGTACTTCCCTTAACTGAGCAGGATCACAACCTTATATCGGTTGAGTTTCAAAAAGCGAATTCAGCTGCATTTTGATTTTGGAACAACACCCTGTTGATTTGGTGCAGGAGGATCTGAAAGAAAAGAAGCCATGAGGGGTTTCTAGTAAACCCAAGCTTGAGACAGATTAGATTGATGAAGGAGAAAAATCCTTGGCTTATTTAGGATGCATTGTATATTTTTAAGTGTTGTTGCTATTTAATAAACAATGTTGAGTGAAACTAGATGACAAAAAGAAGCATGGTGATAAGGAAAGGGGAAAGCAAGGAAAACCTCCAGATATTATCTTAGAATTTTTGGTGGTCCTGGTCCTAAGTGCTGACTTGAACTCTTTGCTCGTAATTAAGAATGAATTCCTTATTTCCCCATGTCCCCAGAGAAAGGATTAGAAAACATGTTTAACTTCAAAGGCTCCTAGTGATCACTGTCTACTTTTAATTGAGATATAATTCATGTAAAACTTGCCATTTTAAAAGATACAATTCAGTGTTTTTTAGTATATTCATTATGTTGTGCAACCATCACCACGAATTTCTACAAATTATTATCACTCAAAAAGAAACCCCACACCTATGAGCAGTCAATCCACTTGTTAATTCTTGTATTTTTTTCTCTGACACTGAGTCATGAAAATGAAGCTGATTTTAAAGAATCCAAGTAGAATAAATTGGAGCTACTATTAACTTTCAAACAATGTATACTATTGTACCAATTTTCATTCCTTTTAAAGAAATATTTCTGCAACCCGCAAGGCTTTAGAGTTTCATCCCCTTATAACTGCTGAAGTGCAATGCAGATGGATATGGATCAGTATTTTGTGCTTATCCGGCTGGATGTGGGTCACAGAAAACTGAAGGCAGAAATATCATTGGACAAGGAGATAGTAAGAACAGCACCCAGCGTGTTTCCTTGTTACCACTTGCCAGAAATGCCTCTGTTTCTCTCTTCTCCTCTCTTTCCTTCTCCCCTCTTCCCCAATGGAGATTATAAGTATGCTTGCTTTCAAGAAATTCCATTTGCTGAGCTCCAACTTTATAGTACAGCCATTGAAGAATTATAACCCATATTATGAAAGGATTCTTTTCTTTACTAAGTATGTGCTTAACTACCACCACTTTCCACACTTAGTTGTGTTCAACGGTAATGGAAGCAGAAAGAAGAAATGTTCAGCTAAACTGTGATGCATTACGGATATTTGAAAAGAGAGAATTGGAGTTATTAAAAACTCCATGGACTTATTAAAAAATAAGTCAGTGTGATAAATTCAAATGAAAAACGTTTAGTTGACATTTGACTAATTAGATCTGCTTCTCATACATAAGAGAGACCTCCCACTACACTTGCATTTTTTATTTATTTTATTTTTTGTTAATCCTCACCTGAGGATATTTTTCCATTAAATTTTAGATAAAATGGAAGGGGGAGGGGAGAGAGAAACACTGATGTGAGAGAGACACATGATTGGCTGCCTCCTGAGGTCGGGGATCAAACCTGAAACCCAGGTATGATGTGCCCCTGACTAGGAATTGAACCTGAGACCCGTTGGTCTGAGGGCCAATGCTCTAACTGCTGAGCCAAACTAGCCAGGGCTCCCACTTCACTTTTTAAATACTTTTGAAACTGAAAAATATTCATATTAACCAAATGCAAATTAACTGTATTTGGGTAGTTATTGCAGGAAAAGATTCATTAATTCAACAGGCAATTTATTGAGTATCTACTACATGCTGTGTCCTTGCTGTTGAGGATAGAATGGTGAGAAGAAACAGGTCCCTAATTAGAGAATAGCATGTGCAAAGAAACTGAGTGGCAGAGAAAATGGGACTTGTGATAAGAGACAGAAAGGCTGGAGCCAAGAGTCCAAAGTGGAAGTGGTTCAAGATGCTGCTAGGAAAACTGGCGTGCGTGCAATGATGTCCACATCCGCATAGGCCAAGTTTTGTTTTAGTCCAAAAAGGGAAAAGAAGCCATTGATCAGATTTGCATTTTGGAAAGATCACCCTGATTGTAATATAGAAAGAATGGATAGGACTAGAGCAAGATTGGATATAGAAAGACCATAGAGGACGCTATTTTAGTTGTCTAGGTGAGAGAGGGTAGGGTTGGAGAGGTGGGTGGGGGAATGGAAAGGGTCTGGACTGAAGAGAAAAGTCTGAGTCATTGTGTAGGGATGGTCTTTGAAACCATGTGTGTGGGTGGAATCCTAGGGAAAGGTTTTACAGTGAGAAGAGATGACTTAGAACTGAGCCTGGAATGAGGGAAACAGACGATTAATTGAGTCTATGTTCCTGAAATATATTGGCCTGTAATTCTCATTTCTTGTAATATTTTGGTCAGGTATTGACATCAGGGTTATAACGGTTCCTAAAATAAATTTGAAAGTCGTTCCCTCTTCTGTTCTCTAAAAAGGTTTCTGTGAGGTCACATGTGTTTGGAGTTTTTCTTAAGGGAAGATTTTAAATGATTAATTAATTTCTTTAGTAGATAAAGGAATATTCACATTTTCTTATTTGTTTTGTGTCAATTTTGCTAAGTTTTTTTTTAAAAGAAACTTGTCCATTTCATCTAAATTGTCAAATGTACTATGATCTATTGCATAATAATCTCTTATTATTTTTGTAGTACCCATGGAATCTGTAGTGATGTCCCCTTTTATTCTTGATATTGGTAATTTCTATTTTCTCTTTTTTAGTCTTGATCAATCTTGCTAAGGGTGTGTCAATTTTATCATTCTTTAGAAAGAAGCAACTTTCAGCTTTATTTTCTCTATTAACATCTGCTTTCCATTTCATTGGTTCTGCTCTATCTTTATTAATTCCCTCTTTGAATTCTTTAGAAGCTTTAATTTTTTGTTTTTTTTCCCCTATGTTTTTGAGTTAGAAATGCACATAATTAATTATCAACCAGTTGTCTTCTGTAATGTGAGCACGTGAGGCTATACATTTCCCTTCAGTACCTTAGTTTCTCCGCAGGGTTTTGTCAATTAAATAAAAATGCCGTATTTCAATTGTGGTTTCGACTTTGAACCCATGGTTTATTTAGAAATATGTTTTGTAATTTCCACTCACAAGGACGATTTCCTAGTTGTTATTGTTATTGAGAGACAGTGTAGCACTGTGATTGGGATCACTGACACAGGGCCAGATTGCCTGGTTTTCTATCCCAGCTGTAAAATCTTGGACAGATCATTAACACTAACCTTTTACTAAAAAATGGAGATAACACTTTTCCTTTCTATAAGGTCAGAGTAATATCTGTGCCATCTTTTCTGATTTTAGTAATTTGAGTCTTTATTTATTTACTTATTTGGTTCAGTCATTTTAGCTAACTGTTCGTGAATTTTACTGGTCTTTACAAAAGCCAGCTTTTCATTTTATTTTTATTCTTTGTTGTTGTTTATTTTATTAATGTTTGCTCTGATCTTTATTATTTCCTAACTTCTGCTTGCTTTGGGCTTAGTATACTCTTCCTTTCCAGTGTTTTAAAATGGAAGGCTATTTGAAATCTTTTTTCTTTATTTGATGTAGACTTTTTTTTTATTTTTTATCCTCACCCAAGGACTTTTTTCCATTTTTTGTTCAGATAGAGTGGGAGGGAGAGAGAGGAAGAGAGAGAGAGAAACATTGACGTGAAAGGGACACATGGAGTGGCTGCCACCCACACAACCAACTAGGGCCGGGGGCAAACTGCAACCGAGGTACATGCCCTTAGCGGGAACCGAACCCGGGTCTCTCTGGACCGCAGACCGACGCTCTAACCGCTGAGCCAAACCGGCCAGGGCTGATGTAGACTTTTATAGTTACTAAGTTTACCTGTAAGCAGTACATTAACTTTATTCCATAAATTTGTGGTATGTTTGGTTTTCATTTATTTCAAAGTGTTTTCTAATTTCACCTTTGATTTATCAGTTATTTAAGAGTGGGTTGTTTCATTTTCATTTATTAATAAATTTCCCAATTTATTTCTGTTATTACATTCTAATTCCACTCCTCTGTGATTAGAGAACATACTTTGTACAGTTTTAATTCTTTTAAATTTATTGAGGCCTATTTTATGGCCTAGCATATGATCTATTCTGAAGAATGTTCCATGAGTACTTGAGAAGAATGTGTATTCTGCTCTTGTTGGCTGCAATTTTATATAATCAGTGTTTATTTATATGTAACCATATATTGATTTCCCCCTTTCTATTCTTTCTTGCCTCTCAGATAATTTTCTTCCTGCCTGAAATACTTCTTTTAGTATTTCCTACAAGGAGAATCTGCTCATGATAAATTGTCTTGGTTCTGGCTTATCTGAAAAAACAAAAAACTGTCTGCTTCGCCTCTGATTTTTAAATATATTTTCAGTGAGTATAGAATTCTATACTTTTTTTCCCTGCTAGTAACTGTATTCTTGCTTCCATTGTTGCTGTTATAGTAGTCAGCTGTCAGTCTAACTACTACTTTGAAAGTATTCTGCCCCTTCTATCTGTTTACTTGAACAATGTGTTCTTTGTCTCTATTGTTCTGCAGTGTCACTAGTATATGTCTCCTTACAGATTTTTTTTCAACGCTGGGATTTATTATTGGACATAATCTATGTATTGGAATATTTATCAGTTCTATAAAATTATCAGGCATTTTGTCCTCAGTTATCCATTCCACCTCATTTTTTTTCTCTTCTCTCCAGAAATTCTGATTAAAACACAAGTTAATTTTTATTCTTTTCTCTATGTCTCTTTATTATCCTAATATTTTCCATCTTTTTTGTCTCATTACTACATTTTGGATGACCTCTTCTGATTTCTTTTTCAAGGTTAAGTTTTCTGTTTAATTGTGTCTGATACGCAGCTGAAAACATCCTTTGCGTTTTAAATTTTCCATTGTATCTTTAATTTTTAGAAGTCCTATTTGGTTCTTTTGCAAATCAACTGAATTACTTTTTATAAGTTTACTATTCTTTGCAGATATTTTCCAACTTGTCTTTTGTTTCTTTAAATATAGTAATAATCATTGTTTTATCATCTTGCCTTTTAATACCAGTATTAGACTTGTTTTTAGGTCAGTTTCTGCTACGTGTCATATCTGTTGCTTCTCACTCATGGTGCCTTGTTTCCTTATCCTTCCAGCTGTATCTTACAGCTTCCACTGTATTTCATTGCCTTTGAAAAAATATTTGTATGGGATTTCCTGATGCGTAAGGTGAAGGTTTTTTTGTGTGTTTTTTTCCTAAATCTCCAGAGAGGGTTTACATTGTTCTTACCAGGTGTCTGGATAAAGTTCAGTCTCAGGTACTTTACGCTAAATCCATGGCTTGAAGTATCTTAGATAGCAATTTTTGTTGGAACTGCAATTCCCATTGAGCTTTATTTGATTTCCTAGCACAAAGGCAACTTTTCCAGCAGTCCCTTGGGAAGGAGAGAAGGGAGTATTCTTTCTCCTTATTCACTCTTATCCTGAGAGTTTAACCCTTCCGAGTCCCAGTGTCGTGTATTTACGTGTGTGATGGTGGAGGGGGAGGAGAGGTGATCAAATCCCTCGCCTCATGTTAGCCCTAGGCTTTCACTTTTATCCCCCTTGACCACCAAAACCTCAGTTTAATTTCATAACATTTCTTTCCAGAAAGGTAAATGCCATTAGTGCAAAAGTGTCTTGGGATGCATGTTCTTCTCCAGGCAGGGCCTGCACGTACAGGGATTCAGGTTAGGTACTGCATGGTTCCAAGTCTAAGGGCGCACCAGTCACCTACAGTATGTTCACTGGGAAAAAAGTTTGCGTTTATTTATTTATTTATTATTTATTTATTTCCTCACCTGAGAGAGTGGGAGAGAGAGAGAGAGGAAGAGAGAGAGAGAGAAACATCGACGTGAAAGGGACACATCGAGTGGCTGCCTCCCGCATGACTGAATCAGGGCCGGGGACAAACTGCGACTGAGGTACGTGCCCTTAGTGGGAACTGAACCCGGGTCTCTCAGGACCGCAGGCGGATGCTCTAACCGCTGAGCCAAACCGGCCAGGGCAAAAGTTTGCATTTTTATTGTAACTTTTGGTTCCACAGGTGGGATTATTATATTTATTATAACGGTTTTGTAGTAGATGACTGTTAAGGGTCTTATCCTAATAAATTCAACATAGTATGATAATTTTGCTGACAGGTGGAAGCAAAGTGTCTCCTTTTAACTGTTTTTTTTTTTTTGTCTCCTGCCGTTACCTTAAACCTCACAGGGCCACTTCCCTTCGGAAGGCTCCTGGGGACCACAGTGCTCCCCTCCGCATTATGATTTTTCTTGCCCACGCTCTCTTTGCTCTTAGCATCAGCTTCCACCGCTGCCTGAATTCACGCTCCTATTCCACCCATCTGTCACACGTTTTTTGAGGCCACTACATGCACTGGACTCGGCCACTGCTGTCTTGTCTAGTTGGGGAAAAGTGCAGTGAACTTACTGTGGGAAGGGCCTGATGATGCCTTGAAACAGTGGGGCAGAGAGAAAGGGTCCATCCGTGATGTCTGCGGCCACCCCAGGGCTGGGGCAGGCAAAAGCAGGCAAAACTGCAGCCTAAATCAGTGCCTTGGACACCGAGTGACCCTTCTCAGGGACACTCAGGACACTGAGCTTTGCCACACGGTGTTTGTAAAGCACCCTTTGAAAAGGGATATTTGAAGGGCTCATCCAGATAAACATGCCAGAGCAGATGGCTAATTCCTTTTTATTTGTTTGTTTTTTTAAGAAGAGCAAAAAATGGGTTTAAACACTAGCGTGATTGTCCACACCTAGCCCCAGGGACGCGTGGCACGGGATAGCTGCTGCACTTGGGTCTTCGGCAGGGAGGAAGGTACAGTTCCGACAGGTGTGTGCCGGAGAGCAAGTGTGCAGCGATTCCATCCCCATGAACCTGGAGTGAGCCTGTGTCCGTGCCTGTCCCCCACAGGGAAGCTCTTCGTGCTGGAGTCCCAGAATGGCTCGCAGGGGCTGGGACTGGAGGCGGCTCGGCTTTCTTGCACGAGCAGGGGTGCCCACCTGGTGTCTGCGGACGAGCTGCAGAGGGTGGTCCAGGACTGCACCGTCGCGGTGTGCAGCACCGGCTGGCTGGCGGACGGCACCCTGGGGTAAGTCAGGCGAGCCCGGCTGGCGGTCCCTCCCGCTCACTCGGCTGCCCACCAGGGCTTCTGCCGGACTACATCACTGTTTCACCGAGGTGCCAGGTTAGCGAGCATGCAGCGGGCCGTGGCTTCCAGTGCATTCTTGTTTTAATTTCTCAGAGGAAAACATTTTTCTGGAATTCTGTCAGTGTATTCCCCCTGACTTGGTTATTTTGAATTTCCTTATTAAATTACAAAAATAATACATACTTGTAAATATGTCAAAGACTACAGATAGGTATAAAGTCCAAGCAAGTTTGTCTCTTCTTCCCTACGTCAGTGGTAATGACGCTCGACTGTCTGGTGTACACTCTTTCTCTGTTTCCCTCTGCGGATACATGGCTACATGCATACGAACAGGAAGATGGTGTGCAGGGTTCAGATTGGCCACAGGCTCTCACATTGCTTCCATTGGGAAGAGGGGGTCCATGTCCTCTCCCTGTGAATCAGGCGCAGCATAGTGTTGCCACGACCAATAGAATACACCAGGAGGAATACTATGTGACTTCTGAGAAGGTCAGAAAACTCCATGCCTGACTCTCTGAGGACAGTCACTTTTGAGATGCCCCGTAACAAGTCGAACTGCCGCGAGATGGCCATACTTCGAGGAAGCCCAGACCAGATGGCGATGCCCCTAGGAGGTCCTTTCACCAATAGCCCCAACCAGTGCCCTGGCCATCATGCATGAACTGCCAGAAACGTGAGCGCAGATGCCTCCAGGCGATTCTAGCCGTCCGCTGCTGAGTTGTCACCAGCCTGAGTCTCCCCAGCTCAGGTCCTTAGACATTACAGAGCAGAGATGAGCCATTTCACTGTGCCCTGTCTGAGTTCCCAACCCACGGACTCCTTGTGGAGAAGTCGTTCCTGCGGCCGGCCAGGAGAAAACTGCGTCTTCAGTCGGACTCAGAGAAGACAGGAACGATGCCACTGAGAAAGGAACAGGCTCTGAGCACCCTGCGGTAGATGATGGCCCTGACGTCGTCTGGCTGGCGGATGGCCGCAGGCAACACACAAGCACGCTCACTCGCGTCTCCAGGGTGCTGTCAGCGAATTCTACTATTTGCTCTTTGCAAAAGGTGTCCCTAAGTAAATCACAGGGCAAACATAAATTGTAATGGGAATGAGCATATAAGTAGAACTGAATGATATTAAAAATACAACAGACTCAAACCTATGGGATGCTACTTAAGTTATATCTTGAGGGAAATGTAAAGCATTAAATGCTTGTGTTAGAAAAGGAAAAAGGCTTAAGGTTCATGAACTTTAGCTTAAGGACTATAAAAAGAACAGCAAAACACACCCTCTAAAAAAAGAGAAAGTAGAATGTTATGAAATAAAAAAAACAGTGTATTTATTGCCTCTGAAACTTGAATTTATACATATGACCTCAACTTAAGCATCAGCTATGTTTCCCTGATGTTAGACTTTGTCTGGCGCGAGTATCTCTGGTGCTTTCGGCCAAAGCTCCAGAATCAGAAAAATCTCTGCTGAGTCCAAGGTGACAGCAGAAAGAATGTCCCTTCCCATTTTTAGTGAGTCCCCCTAACCCAGTGTCTTCTTTGTCGATTTCAGGACAACCGTGTGTAGCAAGGGGAGTGGTGAGCAACCGGTCGTGAGAGCTGTCGATGTGAGAATTGACAGCAACCCGGCTCCTGGTGGCACCTACAGTGCCCTTTGTATTAAGGATGAAGGTCAGTTCCAGAGCCTTTGTGAAGGTTCTGGAGGGTGTGCTCGTGGGGTGTTGCCATCTTAGGTTGCAATCTCTAGAAGCAGACCCCGAGATGAGGGTTCACTGCACATGGTATATAAGGGAGACTTCCAAAGAAAAGCAATAGGACAGTGGGGAAGTGGACAGAGAGAAGAAGGGGACCAAGCAATGGTGAAATACTGAGCAGAGTCCACAGTGGCGTTGAGGTGGGGGTACCTTCAGCTCCATCCCACAGGTTATCTCTGGAGACAGTGTGGGTCGGCACGGTTTTTCAGATCAGGTGTGAGAGAACAGGGGTATTTATACCAATGCACCTGTCAGTCATTGGTTAAGGGCTGCTTCAGGGAGATGTAATTCCCAGGCTGTTCTGTTTTTTGATGTGCAGAGGCAAAGGGTTCCAGTAACCTGAGTGCCACACTTCAGCCAAGATGCACGGGCGACCCTGTGCATAGACATGGTAAAGGTGTCTAGGGAGTATGGGCAACCCCCAAACAAATCTGCTACAGTCACTGATACTCTCTTCTTAGTAGACAGCACACTGAAAAGAAAAAAAAACAAAACATTCCTTCTCCCCAAATGGAAATGCATAGGATTTAGGAAACTAACCCTAGGAAGGAAAATTCAACTTCGTCCTGGAAAATCAGCTGAGTGATGAGGAGAAAACCATAAAGGAGTCTCCAGGGCAGAATTTCATGTGCACCGAAATCAGTCCACCTTCATTATGGGAAACATAAGCTGTTCGTAGGGAATGCTCACACGAATGAGAGAAAGCCAGCTGCCTCCCCATCAGTCACAGACTGCAGCACGGGTGCTGCATCGCTGCACACTGGTCTCATCTGGGAGATTCTAAGAAACACTGATGCCTGGGCGCCAGCCCTAGAGAATCTGATATACATGTGCTGGACAGTTGGAGTTTTTTAAAGCTCCCTGGTGATTTTAACATGTAGAGCAGTTTGAGAACTACTTCTCTGATGCAGTTTCCCAACTCTCTCTGATGATGAGAAATACCAGATGAATTTGTTAGAAATTCATACCCTCAGGCCGCATCTCAGAGGCACCAAATTCTAATCTCCAGGGAAGGGGTCAGAGGAGTTAATAAGTCAAAAGGAGCCTGCAGGAGGCAGCCAGTCGATGTTCTCTCTCATCAGTGTTTCTCTCTCTCTTTCCCTCTCCCTTCCTCTCTCTCTCAAATCAATGAAGAAAAATAATATAAAACTAAATAAAACAGACTAAAAACACTTGCTACTGAAATGAAATTTGTGATCCTAGATTGTACCCTGGACCAGGAGAAAAGAGCTGTAATTGATGAAATCTGAATATGGATTATGAATTAGATAATAGTATGGTATCAGCATTTAAATTTCTGACTTTGGTAACTGTGTTGCATTTATGTAGGAGAATATCCTCATTCTTGGAAATACATTCCAAGGTTTATAGGGATGAAGGGACATCATATCATCCTACTGGTTTGGCTCAGCAGTTAGAGCATTGACCCATGGACCAATGAGTCCTGGGTTCGATTCCGGTCAAGGACACGTACCTTAGTTGTGGTTTGTCCCTGGCCCTGGCTGGGTCATGTGGGAGGCAACCAGTCAATGTGTCCTTCTCACATAGATGTTTCTCCCTCTCTCTCCCTCCCACTCTATCTGATGATAAATGAAAAAATATCCTTGGGTGAGGATTTTAAAAAAAGGGACATCATATCTACAACTTACTCTCAAATGGTTCAGAAAAGAATTACAGGTATAGATACACATACATACATATTCATATATATATTTGTCTCGCTATATAGATATCTATATCTATACATATCTATATCTATCTATCTAGAGAGAAGGATGATAAAGCAAATGAGGCCAAAGTAAAACACAGTGACTCTGGATAGAAGATTTTATGAGAGTTCCTTGTTCTTATACTTTTTCCGTAACTTTGAAATTATATAAAAAATAAGAAACTTCAAAAGAATAAAATGATCTATATACTCCTCCAAAACAATAACAACAACAGGAAAACACACACACATGAAAACCTAAGTCATGGGGAGTCAACGTGTGAAGTAAATGCGTGACATCGGTCGATGCATGTGAAGGTGTGAAGACTGATGCCATTTTATTACAATTTTCTAGAATATGCTCTTATTGATTTTAGAGAGAGAAAGGGAGAGGGAGAGAGAGAAGCATCGATGAGACATTGATCAGCTGCTTCCTGCACGTCCCCTCCCGAGGATCGAGCCTGCAACCCGGGCGTGTGCCCTGACTGGAGGTTGAACCAGCCACCTCTTGGTTCATGGGACGATGCTCAGTCCACTGAGCCACACTGACCAGGCCTGACGTAATTTTAGTGAAGCCTGCACAGCGTGTGGATCGTTGGACTCAGGAGCCCTGCATCCCAGAGCAGTTTGCCTGAGCCCAGCCCAGCTCCCGTCACCTCCGGGTCAACCGGGCGGGACTGTGCAGGGAAGACTGGAGTCTTAGTCCCAAGGGCCTGATTTGTGAGGCGGCTTCAGGGGCGTGAGGGGACCCAGCAACGCGTGCTGTGGTGGGATTAGAATCACAGGGCTGCTCTCTCTTGGGAGCAGGAGAGCTCTGTCCCTGTTCCTCTGCTTTTCATCCGTTAGATTCTAAAGGATGGTTCTCAACCTTCCTAATGCCGCGAACCTTTAATGCAGTTTCTCATGTTGTGGTGACCCCCCAACCATAAAGTTATTTTCATTGCTACTTCATAACTAATGTTGCTACTGTTATGTCATTCGATCCCCAAAGGGGTCGCGACCCCCAAGTTGAGAACCGCTGGTTTAGAAAGAGCCTGTAAACTGCTCCCACGTGGTCCTCTGCCCTGCGCGGTGGAGTCTCGGCTGACAGCGCAGTCCGCAGGGTCATCTGTGCTGAAGCAGGTGTGGCGCCCTAGCAGAACTGAGACAGGTGGTTCCTTGGGGCTCCCGTGGGGTGTACGTGAGGTCTGGGTCAGCACCCCACCCAGCAGCATCGTCTCCAAAGGTCGCCTTTTCCCCAGGGACGCCTCAAGGGCTGCTTAGCTCTGCGCGCTAACCCAGAAACGGCAGGCGGGTCCCTCGTGCAGACCAGAAGGGAAACAGAGCCTGTGGCACATCCAGACAGCTTCCTCCTGTGTTTCTTTTTTGAACTAAAGTTCATCACGAATGTAGACTTTTCTCATTTTCCTTCCAGGACTTTTGTCTCACTGAGAGCGAATTTCCAGTCCTGCGGTGATCTCACTTAAACTAATAGTGAAGTTATTTTTAACCAATTGGATGTGGATGAATAAGCTGCCTCCACTTGGTTCTCCGGCTCTGCTTCTCTTGGCAGCTGGTCTGGTGTCGACGCGTGGGGTCTGGACTGCCCCCGCCAGGTTCCGCTCTGGGTGTGCTGCTGGCCCCTCCCCGGGCTGGCCGGGCTGCTCCCCCACCAGCACACTCACCAACCCGCCCACCCAGCACTGCGCTCTCCCCCCCTTGCACACTCAACTATTGCCTCTACTTCCCTTAAAAACAGAAATGGAATCATTCCCTTCCTTTATGTCAGCAAAGAGAGAGCTGGATGCCCGTTTTGAGTGTGACCAGGACATTTTAAGAGTGGCCAGTTCCCAGGTGTTCCTGGAGGAGGCCCCGTGCCTCGGGATTGGCTTTGGGGAAATGAAATTCCCTGGCTCCGTTGGGTGACTGGAACCAACTGCAATGCTGTGAACACCCGAGAGAACTTACTTCGTCCAGGATCTCCTGAGGGAGTGCGGGAGATTCTGAGCCCTTAGCATTGACTTCATATTGGCAATTTGTTTATTTGTCCGGTGTATTGCCAAAGCCAGTGCTCAGGTGGGTGAATAGACAGACAGACAGACAGACAGGCAGTTGGATATAGAGGTCTCATTCCCACCCTCAAGAAGTTGCGTGTATAAGGATCAATGAGAGATGAATGTGTTTCCATGACACAAGCAAGGAGGGTAATTAGGGAGACTTCCTGAGTCAATGGCAGTTGAGGTGGGATTTGAAGATTTTGTTTCTGGAAATAACTGTTAGGGAAGGTAGGGGAGGACATCGCAGGCAGAGGGAACAGTGGTCTGGGGAGACTAGCTCTGGGGAACCGGTACTCAGTTTCGGAAGAGTGAGTCGGACCAGAGCATCCCAGCAGCTTCAGTAGCTGCGGGGCAAGTCTGAGGTGGGATCAGAGGGCAGCCCCGATCATCCCGTCACACAGAGCAGTGGGGCTCCCGTCTCTGCCACCCACCCCCCCAGGCCTGGACAGCAGCAGGTCTTGCTTTCCTGGGACTGAGGTCTTCCATTCCAAAAACCGGTGCTACGTCAGTCCTGACACTCCGTCAGTCCCCAGGAACAGCAGTGTCTGAGCAGCCAGAGAATAGTGCCAATGGGTCCATATTTTGATGGATCTTATGAACCATTTTGTTTTGCCCTTTCTCCCTCCATTCCTGTTCAGCCAACGTTTGCTTGGCCGTATTTAGTTTGAGGGAACTGGACATTCAATCACCATCATTCCTTGAAGAATGATTCAAAAGACCATCAGTCTCCAACTTACTTGGGAAATAAAACCCATGTTTATTTATGTCCCTGTGAAGTTCCAGGCATGTACTGGGCACTGAGCAAGGCATAAGCTCATTTCATTCTGGTAACAACCTAATGAGATGGGTTTCATGAGCTCCGTTTTATATTTTTAATATATGTCCTAATGATAAACATGAACTTGTGGTCACTGTCATAGAAAGTATAAAGAAAACGAAAATCACTCATAATCGGTCAAGATGCAGAACATTTCCTCCACCCCAGATCGTTCCCTGGAGCCCCTTTCCACAAGGGCTCCGCCTCTCCCCATCCCAGCGGGGCAGAGGCAACCTCTGTTCTGATTGCCATCACCATATACAGTGATACCTCGGTTCTCGAACGCCTCGGATTTCGACCAAATCGGTATTCGACCAGGAGATTCGAGAAACTTTTGTCTCGGAATCCGAACAAAT